TTGCGGCGATTCGTTGGGTCCTTCTATCGATTTATTGATTTGTTCACATTTTCCTAAGGAATTGAAGGTTTATTATGTTCAATCAAGCATTTTCCATACTCATGTAAAAAAGGGCGGTGAAGCTCATTTTCACCTCAGGATCACGAGGATGCGGTTTCCAAGCGGATGTCCCAGGGTAAGTCATCCTACCATATAGGGCGGGGGGGGGGGGGCTCGCAACCATGGCCCGGGCTGGACCGGGAAAGCCAACTAGTAGTAAATAAAATGCATCCCGTCTTTGTGATGATACTCTTACTGAACATTGTGACAGCATACCTCATCAACTGTCCGCTTTACAAAAATAAAGACGCCTGAAGAAACTTGGACAAATTCGCAGCCACAAAAAACAACAATGGACTAATCAACAAGAAAATCTTCAGCAATCAATCTTATAATTCTTGCGCTTTATGATTTCTGAGGGTAGCCTAGCCGTAAATCACCATGGACTCCTCAATAAGCTCAATAGCACAGGTATCAAAGGAAACCTTTCAGATGGTTCAAATCCTATCTTTCTTGTGGGACTTTTGAAGTGATCTACAAAGGTCAAAGATCCGATGAAATGCCTTGTCCTTCTGGTGTGCCACAAGGTAGCTCCCTTTCCCCGCTCTTGTTCAACATCTATACGACGGAGCTTTCTAATTTACTAAAAACCATCCTTGTATCAATGTAGCCGCATAATGCTGATGATATCAAGATATATGCCAATTATTACACTAATTTTAGTGCGCAGATTCATGAAAGACTGAGACATCAGTTCGTACATTGCTTCATTCAGCTAATGATTGGGAAATCAAAATCAACCTTTTTAAAAGCCAGTTGTTGAGATTGAAACGATTCAGCCGTTTTGTTTATGGAATTCCCTTAGAAATCAGATGTAATGTAAGCGGCGGTGCAGGAGGAGCTCGAAAGTAATTTGAAGACTTATAAGACAGATTTGGAATCAACGTTTGAATGGGCTTTTTTCGAAACACACCTCTGGAATAAACAATGCTTCCGCCATTTTGGCTTTATTTTTTTGTAAAAGAATTATTATAGAGAAACAAAACTTCCTATTGCCACCGTCGAGAATTGAAAAGGTGAGTTCAATACTCCATGAAAGCACATTTGTAAATCAATTTTTTGAAACTCTGTTCATGTTTCAAAATGATGATAATCAGCGGTAGATTGCGATTCCATCGTGTTCTTACCAGATTTCGATTACTGTTTCGTTTGTTAAGTATACCTTCAAAATACATCGATTAAAGTATCGAGGAAGTTGAAATCAATTCTAGAAAGTTGGTGAAACCGCTGAGCATCGAAACAAGGACAAGCCCTGAAGGTACAAAGCGTTTCAAACATGGATCCTTCAACTAAGCTTCCAGAGGTGTTTTCTATGATATGTCATCTGCGATGTAGTTTTTTTATTTGAAGCAAACGTCCGTGTTTCGAGGAAGATTTATATTCGAAGTCTGATTTTGCAAGAACTTGAAACATGGAGCTTCATAGTGAAGAAATATATATTCTCTTATGAAGTAAATCATTTTTTCGTATCAAAACATTTGCGAAATTTTTAGTTACGAGTAAGTCTACTAAATGCGCCTTTGAACACTGATTTCAAAATTTTCAAGATTTTCTCCAAGTATAGTTACGAAGATTTGTTTCTACATAGATACCACTGCCGAGTTTTTTTTGGTACTTGCCAAATCTTTCCAGCATTGCTCGCGTTTTAATTAGTTCCTGCGGATATACAGGCAGCAAGGCCGTTGCTTCCTCCTGCACCACTTCCCGTAATGCCTTCCCTCAAATTATTCTCTCATATCTATTCTATTGTCTCTAAAGCATCATCATTATGTACTCATTATTTAGAAATGTGCATGTAAATGATTTATCCAGTTGGCTCAAACTCTATAAAGCTCATGTACTGCCTGTTTTGGACTACAATAGTCTGTATGGAATCCTTTCAAAAGAAGCGCTTTGCTAAATTAGAATAAGTTCAACAAACATTTACCAGAATTCTATACTATCGTATTTGCCCAAACAAGCAGTACCCTAATGCATTACCGGATTATAATAGTAGGTTAATCTTTTTGGGGAATAAGACTTTATCCCATAGAAGAATGATTGCTGATCTATACTAGGGTCTAAAATGTTCAGATCTGAGGTACGTTTGAATTTCTCTGATTTCTGGATAATTCGTCCGACCAATAGTCGTCATTCACCTTGATTATCTTTTTGGTTCAGACAAAAAGAGGCGCAAAAAAATAGTACAAGAATCATTCGCTTCCAGCACGTGTCGTTTATTGAGCGAAATTTCTCCCGGAATGATTAGTCACGAAGACCCATAAAGAAAATTCTTAATCAAATATGAACTTCCTCTGTGTTTTGTGGTGAACATTAAAAGTCTATATCATCATATACAACTTATGCTCTCTATTTGACTTTGACAATGTTTTCTGGATTCAGTTAAAATTGGCCCCAGCGCTGCTACATCCAAAAGCTAATTGTGATTGTCGCATCAACATGGCTCATCTCATCTCATCTCATACTCAGCTTTCCAACGCCACATTGTTTGCTACTTGCAGCTCGAACACAGAGGAAGCGGGGCAGATGATAGTATAATGAAAACTTGGGTACGCGCATTTAGCCGTATCGTCTAGGCACTACCTCGTAAGCGTGCCGCTCCAAAATGCGCTGTATCGTAACTCCTTACCTCTGTTTGAGCTAACAAGGAAAGCGTGTCTGGTCGAAGTGGCGTTTCTAAATGAGACTCATACCACTTTGAAGAGCATTGCACCATGCCCCGAATCTGCCTTCATTATCTGCCAAGCGCCTCTAGACGCCGAGTTGTGGCCGTTTTTTGGAACGAAAAATGGGTGCGAAATTTGGGTAAAAACGCGTGTTACAATCTCTCAGCGCTCAGATAAAGCAATATTAAGTATTAGGTTGTTAAATAAGTCTTCTTACACTTTATTTCTTACGGCGATAAGTCATGCACCTCATATTCTTGACAAGGCTCCAGGGTACCATTCGATAGAGCAAAGCAAGCTCTACAAAATGGTATGCAGAAGTTCGCACCAACTTCGACCCACTATAAGTTTGCACTCAAATTCTGAGTCGTACTGAAGGCTCCAAAAATGCGAAAAATTCATATCTTCGCTCAAAAAATTTCACAAATCTCCAGATTGCTCATAAAAATTGCACACCATATCAGACACTCATATGTACCGTTGCTGTATTTCTTCCTCATCTAGAAGTCGAGAAAATGAAAATTTTCTTGTTTTTTCAAAAACGAAGCTATGCTGTTTCTATTCATGTAGCTGTATACTACAAGCCCTTAGAAGTATAACCGTAAATTTTCAGCTTTCTAGAAGCCCCAGTTTTCGAAAATTACCTAATTTAGCATTGAACACACAAGTGAGAAAAGCTAAATTCGGTATTTTTCGAAAACTAGGGCTTCTGGAAAGCTGAAAATTTACGGTTATACTTCTAAGGGCTTGTAATATACAGCTACATGAATAGAAACAGCATAGCTTCGTTTTTGTAAAAACAAGAAAATTTTCGTTTTCTCGATTTCTAGATGAGGAAAAAATACAGCAACGGTACATGTGAGTGTCTGATATAGTGTGTAATTTTTATGAGCAAGCTGGAGATTTGTAGAATTTTTTTGAGCGAAGATATGAATTTTTCGCGTTTTTCGAGCCTTCACTACGACTCAGATTTTGGGTGCAAACTTATAGTGGGTCGAAGTTGGTGCGAACTTCTGCATACCATCTTGTAGAGCTGGCTTTGCTCTATCGAATGGTATCCTGGAGCCCTGTAAAGAATATGAGGTGCATGATATTAGCATGATATTAGCATACTAGACAAAATGTATCCATTGCGTGAACTGCTCTGATACCTAGCATCAGACCAGTTGAGCAAATTTGGGCAATTTTATCCAATTTTGCATTCAACTGACCCGAAAAACGCCCATAACTCAAGGTCCAGGGGAGCTTGGCAAATAATGAAGGCAGATTTGAAATCACTGTGCAATATTCTCCAAAGCAGTATGAGTCTTAACTGAAAAGGCCACTTCGACTATACACATTTTCCTTGTAAGACTGCAACGTGGCTTTTCAATCAAACTATTATATCAATTGATTCTAGACCGTAATAATGCGCTTTTATGTTTATACACTCTTAACAGCTCTGGTCCACCTATAAATGGGCCCAGAAGTGAATGATGGATTGTTAACTTGGGTGTACTAGGATGTATTTGGATGTCATATGTGCGATAAATATAAATATAAATATAAATAGTACCCAACGGGGCCAACTGAGTATCTTAAAGTTCTGGTCGCGAAATCTGCAGAGTAGTATATCCATGAGAACAGGTGCAATATTCTACGTATGACAATTTGACATCTACTTTTGAGCTTGACATTCTATCGCAGGCAAAAGCCAGAGAAAGAGCTCCCAAGTCCCTAGAAACTCCCCACACTACACGTTGTCTCCGCCAAAGTTTTGCGCTTGGTAGATTAGCGCCGTACCTTGCGTAAGTCGTGTCAGTACTCCAGTACTGCGCCAATCCATCTGCCAACAAAAATGAGCTTCTTTCCGCCTGATTAAACAATCTGAACAATAAGCCCAGAAAAAATGGGGCGGACATAAAAGCAAGCTTGCATTATGCTTCGTCGTTTGCCTTTTAAAATTCCTTCAGCAAAAGCAAGTAAATCCTTTTGTAAGTTTCTGCTAACCTCGGATCAAAGATCGCTTTGGTTCTAGGGATTTTCGAAGTTGCGGAAGTTCACGGGCTGGCCCCCCTTTAAGTTGGTTTGGGCAAAGATAGTGTGAAACATCCACGGATAATCTACTGAACTGATTACTTTTAGCTTGACATTTACCACCTCCAAGCCGGATCCAGATCCAGGACTAATCCAGCAGTGAACGAACACCCCTATCAGATGAAATGCACAAATTACTGTGTACAAAAGAACAAGAAATACTGGACAAATTTGTCAGATATACTTTCTGTACAGTAAAAAAACTGCATTTTCAAAGGGCACTTGTCAACTGGATATTCAACAGTTAGACGTGAAATTTGGCACGGCATATAGAACAAGTAAAATGAAGAAATGAAAGTAAAAACAAGAGAAAATGCCTGGAATTATGCACACTGCATGGAACCAAAAAATACCAGTCCTAGCGTGACTTCAGCAAACAAAAGATAACATTAAGGCAGTGTACAGCGACTAGATGTTGACATTGGATCCATTTTGATGATCAGAGTAGCAGCTCAGTAGTTTGTCTCCAACTGACCATCGACAAGTTTCAAGGTTCTAGTTCGACGTACTGAAAGTTTAATAGTGTATAAGTTATGCTTGCGGATTTAGCTCGACCCACAAGATTTTCTATTGAACTGTCGCGCCTTCCGCCGATGATCTCGCGTTTCTGATTGAAGTGTAGCAGCTTTTACTAAGCCGTTTAAGATTTCGTCTTCTGGTGAATCATTTGCTGGGTCGGGCAGGTCTGAAAGGAGCAAATCACGATTGCTGATGCGCATTGAAGTGGTCAAAAATAGCATCGAATCCCGAACACATCTCCGTATATAAACAAACGAAGGTAAGTAGGGGCAGGTTTCAAATATTTGCCAAGTTATACGAGTGGGGGAGGGGAAGGACACAATCAAAAAAAAAGGTGAAGGTTTCTGATGAAGGTGTGTGGCGTTGGCCACGCACTCCGAAAAAATTTTTGGTGTTTTCTAAAATTTTCGCGTCCCCATAACCCGAAATTTCACAGCCACCCTTCCAGAAAATTTTTTTATAAGGGACTAGCTGGCATACCCGGCTCCGCCGTATGTTCCGAATAGAAAATTCCATTTCTCAACCGATCCGAACCAAACTTGGCACACATATACTTCGGGCTCCGGCGGGTGTCACAGTCCACTTTTCGTTATCGATTGATGCGATTTTATCGATTTTTTGCAAAATTTGAGCTAGGGGGCTGGGATTTGGCACAGGGGGTAATCGAGCATGCTGATTACGAATACAATATTAGTTTTCGAAACCGTGCATTACTTTTATCGATTTTATCGATTTTTTTGCAAAGTTTGAGCTACGGGGCTGGGATTTGGCACAGGGGGGGGGGGTAATCGAGCATGCTGATCACCCCCGTGGGAGTGATCAGCATGCTCGATTACACCCCCTGCCAAATTCCAGCCCCCTAGCTCAAATTTTGCAAAAAAATCGATAAAATCGATAAAAGTAATGCACGATTTTAAAAACTAATATTGTATTCGGAAATCCCCATGCTCACTTACCCCCTGTGCCAACTCCCAGCCCCGTAGCTCAAATTTTGCAAAAAATCGATAAAATCGATATCGATCGATACGAAAAGTAGCCTATGACACCCGCCGGGGCCCGAAGTGTATGTGTGCCAAGTTTGGTCCGGATCGGTTCAGAAATGGAATTTTCTATTCGGAACATACGTATAGACAGACAGACATACAGACAGACAGACATACATGCATACAAACAGACATTCAGCTTCATATATAAGAAGATGAGAGGTTACCCCCGGAGATCCTCTGTGTACCCCTAAGGATCACCTCTCATTTTCAAAGTCATTTATCTTTCTAAGAAGGTTATTGCTGCAAAACTGTACTGAGAATATGTTACGGCACTGCTAAACATGCTTATAATAGAAGCTAGCTGGCTTACCCGGCTCCGCCCGGCCCTGTCAATGCTATGATTGAGGTCTTATCCCTATCACTGTAAAACCTTTCATTGTGCCCACTCCTACAAGCAATTCCCTATTCCCGTTGTGTTAGTAATAAGCATGCCCACCTACCTCCCTCAACAACCCCAGCCCCGTAGCTCAAACTTTGCAAAAAAAAACAATAAAAGCGGTAAAAGTAAGGATAATTCTGAAAACTGATGGCGCTATTCGGCTATCCGGCCCCAAAATGTTTTTATGATTGATCTTGCTCAAAGTCGGCACATGGGGATTATTAAAGCCGCTGACGACGAATATCGTAGTCATTTCGCGCGATAACGCCATTTTCTGGGTTTACGTTGAGTACACATAAGAAGCTAAAATCATGGATTTCGCTGAAACTGTGGGGGGGGGCTAATTGACATGCTGATTACGAGTATCGTACTCCTTCGGCATTCTGAGGCGATTTCACTGGGTAGAGGATACGAAAAAGGGCGGTCCTCGCGGTCATTTGCGATACGCACTCTTGTACATGTGCGGACATGCGTTTCTGCAGGGAATCCGCGCGGGACTCTTCCAAATTCGGCGACATATAGTCCTCCACCCGATTTCACTGAGTTATGGTAAGTATACTGCAGAGGGGCGAAATTCAGTTTTGGCTGGAACTCGGTCTAGAGAGATTCGACCTTCTGACCACGTCTAAAATACTCTCGTTGCGATTTAAGACCTTTTCGCAGAGTTACGGTAGGTACATGGCAGCGGGTAAAAATCATAAACCTGCCTGAAACCTTGGCAGAAAATTACCTAAAGTGCTGTTTCAAGAATATCGTGCTGAATCCCCACGATAAAGGCAATTCGTGTGGTGTAAAAGTTTCTTACGACCGTAATGCTTTCCCTTATAGGACCATTGCCGCGCGCGAGACACCCTTCGGCGGCTTTTGCCTAAGCAAAAACAGGGGGAGGGAGATTTGCCGCGTGCGTTACGCGTTGGGACAGGTTATCAGTTTCCTTATAGGACCACTGCTGCGCGCGATAAACTCTTCGGCGGCTTTTGCCTAAGCAAAAACAGGGGGAGGGAGATTTGCCGCGTGCGTTACGCGTTGGGACAGGTTATCAGGATGACGCTGGAGATCGCCATGCAAAACAACCGTTTCCCCATCTCTTGAATATCTGGGATCTAAATTGGCCCGAAAGCGAAAAAATGTTCCAAAACCCTGCATTGTATTCGGAATCCCCACGCTCGATTACCCCACTGTGCAAACTCCCAGCCCCGTAGCTCAAACTTTGCAAAAAAATCGATAAAAACGATAAAAGTAATCGATAATCCTGAAAACTAATATTGTATTCGTAATCAGCATGCTCGATTACCCCCCCCCCCTGTGCCAGCTCCCAGCCCCGTAGCTCGAACTTTGCAAAAAAATCGATAAAATCGATAAAAGTAATCGATAATCCTGAAAACTAATATTGTATTCGTAATCAGCATGCTCGATTACCCCCCCCCCCCTGTGCCAGCTCCCAGCCCCGTAGCTCGAACTTTGCAAAAAAATCGATAAAATCGATAAAAGTAATGGACGATTTCAAAAACTAATAATGTATTCGTAATTAGCATGCTCGATTACCCCCTGTGCCAACTCTTTTTTTCAGTCTATCGAATTTCAGCAATTACACTAGAGGACCATGTTCAGGCTTGTAGTAGGGAAAGTGAGGAACCAGCAATACTATAACTCTTTCCTAGTGCGTGTTATCAAAACATGGAATGTGCTCCCAATGGAAGCTATCACCGCGAGATCTACATTCGTTTTCAATAGAGAAGTTCAAAAATTTCTGAAATCACAGGGGTCATTCTGACTACCTTTTTCCAGGAAATTTTTTGAGATTCGACGTTTCCTTTCTCCGCAGCGAATTCTAACTGAAGTATGGCTTGGTCTCCCAGAAGGCGAAATTCTTCGTTATGTTCGATGTTTTTATTTCTGTTCCCCGGATCAAAAATCAAGAAAAAAACGTATCTACCTCCAGTGATTCTTTACCATTTTGTATCGCAACTCTCTCGAATTATCCTTTTTTCTTTGTTACAGTGTTCTTCCTGTGGTCATTCCGACTTTTTTTCTTGGTGATCATTCCCCTCTTCCGAGGGTTTTATTGTACTTTTCCCTTCTTTTTATGTCTTATTGTCCTTTCGAAAACCCTTGAAACCTTTATTTTTCTCTCTGGGTTATGGCCAGCTAGCCTTTGCAGGCGGGCTCGCTGGCCCCCCAAACAGGGGGTATCGTTTTCGAAAGACGTATAAGATTTTGGTCGACCGCTGAAATTATTGATCCTCCTCGTCTAGAGTCATTTGGATGTCGACTTTATAGTTAAATAAATAAATAAACTCCCAGCCCTGTAGCTCAATCTTTACAAAAAAAATCGATAAAATCGATAAAAGTAATGGACGATTTCAAAACCTATATTGTATTCGTAATCAGCATGCTCGATTACCCCCCCCCCCCTGTGCCAGCTCCCAGCCCGTAGCTCAAACTTTGCAAAAAAATCGATAAAATCGATAAAATCGATGCCGATCGATGACGAAAAGTAGCCTATGACACCCACCCCTCCGAAGTGTATGTGTGCCAAGTTTGGTCCGGATCGGTTCAGAAATAAAAATTTCTATTCGGAACATACGTAATACATACATACAGACAGACATACAGACATACAGACATACAAACAGACATTCAGCTTTATACATAAGATATATATAACTCAAAATTGTGAGTTTGGAGGCTATGTGCTTTATAGAAAGGCGCATCGTTCAACCGATTCAAACTTTGCACACGTACGTTTTCAGCCCCCGCGCAGATGATAGGCTACTTTTTGCGGCAACGTTGGGTCCTTCTATCGATTTATCGATTTGTTTACGTTTTTCTAAGGAATTGAAGGCTTATCATGCTTAACCGAGCATTTTCCCAAAGTCATGGTAAGAAGGGCGGTGAAGGCCCATTTACACATCAGAATCACGAGAAGCGGTTTCGAAGCGGATGTCCCAGGGTAAATCATCCATAACATAGAAGAGAGGGGGGGGGGGGCAGTGCAGGTAATCAATAGCACGGGCTGGACCGGAAAAGTAACAACTAGTACGTAACAGTGGCGTACCCAGGATTTCGGCTCGGGGGGGGGGGCGCGACAAAAATTTTTTTCTAAAGTAGGTGCGTGGCGTCAGCCACGCACTCCGAAAAAATTTTTGGGGTGCTTCTCAAAATTTTTCCGGGTCCCCGACCCCTAAAATCTGGAAAAAGGGGGCGTGGCTGACGCCACGCCCCCGAAAAAAAATTTTTTATAAGGCTAAAATGAATTTTTAAAAAATTTTAAAAATTATTTTAATTATTTACAAGTAAAAACAAGTCACTTGCACATTTTTATAACCCATGTAAGTAACTTTCAAAAATTTCGCGACCCGTTCTCGGGGGGGGGCGCGCGCCCCCCCCCCGCCCCCCCCCCCCCTCGGTACGCCACTGGTACGTAAATACAGACATACAGACAGACATTCAGCATTATATATAAGATGTTTACTTTAAAGTAGGAGTTTAAAGCCTCTTCCCTGCCCTTGCTAAGGACCAAGATAGGGGCAGGGAAGAGGCTTTAAACTCCTACTTTAAAGTAAATATCTTATATATAAAGCTGAATACGACAGCAACTAATGCCAGCACTTGAGAAGGAAAACCCGCTTAGACTGGAAGATCTACAAGTTGACGCGCTTGAGCGGGAAACGGTAAGATTTGAGAGTGGCAAAAACAAACGTTAAATAGGTGTTTATTTGTTAGCATAGTGCCATGGCCCTGGTCACTTGCTCCAGCTAGTGGACAGTCGACTTTTTTTTTACAAAGCACAGGTATATAGCGATGTGGTATCGAACTCATGCGAACTAGGCTAGCAAGAACAAACTATAAAGATTATGTGAGTAAAGGGACTGCTTTTACGAAAATTTCTCTCAGTTTTACCTTACTGATCATGCAAACAAGACACCACAAAGCACTCATGCTCACTATGAAATTTTTTAATAAGCAATCCTACCTTTATTAACATGAGCATCAGCGACAGCCCTAGCACGTCTTCGTAGAGTTCCATCACCACTATCCGGTAATCCTGTCAGCATACGAGACATTTCTTCGTGTCGCTAAATTCAAATCAATTTTTCAAAAGCAATGAGTCTAAGTGCTTTGACCTGCAAAGAGTTTTGTGCATTCGGAGGACGACGACGTCTACTTGATTCGCCATTGTCCTGTTGCTGCTCAAGCGCCCAAATTTTACCTCTGGAAGTCAAAACACATCGGATAATCTTATTGTTAGCAGGCCGATGTAAATACCTGGTTTTATTTCTTTCACGTTTCTCAGCCATGCGCTTTCTTTGTTGCAGAATTTTTTCACGAGTAGTGCGGTACTCTAACGCAAACTCAGTCACCTGCAATGTATTTTCTCGCCACTTATGGTTAGACAAAAACCCGCTTTCGATATACCATCTTGAACACATCGTTTGGATTCTGATCTGGGATCTCATTAACGGAGTATCCAAAATAGATGAGAAAAGCATGCCATCTGCAAAAAGGTCTTGATTATGAACAGAGTAATTCTACAGAACTCACCTATTTTTGGTAACATTATAGATAGTGTTTAGTTGGTGAATTCTCTGAGCTACATCTGTTAGGTAATCGTTGATTTTCTGTCTCATTGACGAGTTGTCATTTTTTGCAATCTGAAATTTAACAATTCTTCTTGGATAATAATCGTAGAATCTAGTTGTTCTCGCTCGACGTAGTGCATTTGCAATGACCAGATTGGGCGACCGTGAAAAACCTACAGTCGAGCAAATTTCCGCTTAAACGCACCGTCCACTCAAATTTTCGATCGATGTTCTAATCGTCTCAGGGCCTTCTCATGTCTCTGTCTGAATATGAAGTCGAGAATCCGCGAAAACCCTGACAATCCCCGTTCCGAATACCCCGCAGGCCTGTTCCCAGAACGGTGATTGAATGGGCTCGCACGAATAGGCGCGCATTACGGAAGGGAGCGGTGCCGACCTAGATCCTCATGCCTCTTCGCTCCGAAGCAATCTTTTCGATTCCGAAGCGAAATCTTGCGCCGCAACTTGGGCATTGGCTTGACAGGAGGTTTTACTATCCTGAACTGCCAAAAGCTTAAGACCCATAACTTAGGGTGGACGGTGCCTTCAATATAGTGTACTTGCACTGCAGGTAAATTGTGGTAAAAATAGCCGGCTACGCCTGTGACTCCGGCCAACTGCGCGCGCAAAATGCTGGCATTATTGACGTGGCTATTTTTCACGCGCAAATCTTACCGCATTTACCTCCAGTGTAAGCACACTATATTTAGCAGAAAATCACTTGACTATAGGCCCGTAAGCCAACCATTTGCGTGTGTAAGACACTTGTAATGCCGACAATTTGCGATGGTCGGCATAGGCGTAGTTATTCCTCCACGCCCAAAATTGGTCGCCTAATCTCGGCACCGCATACACATAATATCAAACGAAAAACCTACTTATCTGTGATGCTATGTGCTCACCTTGGACAAATACTCCCAACTAGCCTTGCATTCTTTTTCTAAACGTTTCAGATTATCGAACAACTCTTTGTAGTCAACCTAAATTCAACATTTTATGCTTGAAAACATAGAGAAAAAGGGGACCAACTCTGGAGCTACGCGCAACAGCTCCGAATTCGGTGTAAAGATCAGTCCCTTCAGGGTAGTGTTCCAGCATATATTCCGCTAAGTGATATGTAAGCGTATGTTTATATACCGGATCCTTCACTTCAGAAGCTTTTGACAAATAATCAAGTTGAAATCCTTTTATCTGAAAGTACCCCTGATTCGTTGGCTATAGAGATTTTAAAAGCAGCGTCCGGGCGGCTTTTCGAATTCTAAATTTTCTTATCCAAGGTTTTTTCGATGATATCAGGTATGATACTTACTATCCTTATCGAAAACAAGCACAAATACGTTGAACAATATTATTCATTCTCTGACTAAGAGACACTACATAACACGCTCTGCGTACGTCTGATCAACATGTTAGTGAGTGCGTTTTAACGCTTCTGGTGAATCAATAAGGAGAAACGGAAGGATTCGGAGTCCTCAATGCCCTTTGCGGGCAGGCTCCGAACGCATTCTACGCCATAGTCGAAGAGTATTGAATGCGTGCAGGCCTTTTTACAATGATTTGCAGGCGCCAACCGATTGCCAGGTCAGTGCGTTTACCATTCCAGACTACTTTGGTACTAATTTACCGCCTCGAGGTAGAGGGCTTGGTTGGCTCGTCGGGATCAACCTTTGGTCCGACTTGGTCTTGGCGACGCCTCATACCACTACGCCACTTGTCCTCTGTTTTGATAAATTATCAATAGAGACCCGTAACAGGAAATGTCTGAGCTTGACAGCAGTCGAACATGTTTTTCTATAAATTCTATTTGTATACCGAAACGCACTTTTGAACTTGTACGCAAAGCGTGCCCGTGTCTCTCAGAGAAAAAAATGATATGCATTATTTTACATCGACTATGCTTGTCATGCGAAACCTGGTCGAGAGCGAACGCACACCGGCTTGGGCGGTTAGCGCACGGTCCTAACAATTCCAAATTTCTTTCTTTAGCGGCAGTCTCTAAAGACCGGACTTACGAAGTAGTTCTTTGAGGGCTAAAGTTTGGTCATACTAGTACCCAAGAAAGTTATCTGCTCAGACGCTGCCTTTGAGCCACAGTCAGCAAACCTCAGTTCCGCTTAGCGTGTTTCCAATAACAAGTAAAATGCTCATTGCTTTACGAAATGTCTTGGATTCTTCCATTTCTTTCATAGCCAGTTGCAGGTCCATCAAAGGTTCGGCAATGTCCCAAAATAGAGGACGTTTATGCGGCAACAGTTCTTTTGACAGAAAAAAACCTTTTCCATGGTCTTGTAATCTAACGTGAAAATCCAGAGTTTGAGGCGTTCCAGAAGGCAGGGAATTTTGGATAGCATAAGCATGAATTGTTCAGCGTGTCCCTGAAAGTATTACAAAATTATTGAGTTCTGCAAAATGACTATACTCCATGGAAGTAGTCATTAGAGATTTTTTTAGCATGTATAGGCTGTCTCAATCAATGACAGTGTCACAGTTCCAAGGCTAGTGTTCTTGCTGCCGCCTCGGACCTTCCGTGCGTTTGCGGACGGTGTGCTCTGTGCACTATCCCTCTAAGGAATTCAAAAAAAAAATTTATCGGATGAATGAATCTATCATAAGTTATAATAAGCCGCTTAATCGGAAGCTGTGCGAAGTTTATCTATGACGAAATCAATGTGAGAAATGATTTACATTAATTTAAGCATGTGACGATAGCGAGGGTGGTTCATTTGCACTAGAAGTCACGAGCTTCAGGCAACTTTGGGATGATGTGAGAAACAGGCTATTAGAGCGTAAGTTCAATATAACACTTTCCGTGATGGCCAGTGTGAGCCTCTGCGAAGCAGAGGTGAAGTACAATATGAATAGAACTCAAATGTAAATTTGTTAGTTAGAATATATATGACTTATAAACTCCTTTGTGCGTAGATCGATGAGACCAAAACTCGCTCCCCTAGAAATGAGACACGGCGCAAAAGATAGGCTAGTTTTCGCGACGATTCGCTGGGCCCTTCAACCGATTTATTGATTTGTTTACTTACATGTAAGGGGAAAAACTTACCAATGATTGCTGGATTGTAGTTAGGTAAGCGGAGCGCTGAAGATCATCTACATTTTGCGGCGAAGATCCAATGCTTGTCAACAAGATACATCGCAAAATCGTTTCAGTCAGATATAGAAAAGGGATGGTAAGTCTTTAGAAGCGTTAATGTGTTAGTCAGGGCCCGGCATGCGTTGATTTGGAGGTCTTTGAAAACGAAGTCCCCATGACTTTGCAAATTTTTACGAAATCCCCATTGACGTAAAAAAAATAAAGGATGAAGGATTCGGCGTCTTTAATAACCTCCGAGGGCATGCGCCGAACGCACAACTAACTTGACGTTGACTGACGTAAACGCTAAAAAGAAAACAAAAACAACAACAAAAACAAAAAACAAGTGTCGCCAGTTCGAAGGACGCCTTAGGCATGTGATTGGAGCGCCATATCCATCAATATGTTTATCTATACTATTTTTGGCTAAAAAAGAGGAGAGGCAATGACTTGATTAGCTCTCCTCACTATATGATAGATTTTCAAGCTTGCTCGCTTCAAGCTTCAAGCTTGCTTCAAGCATGCTTTAGTCTCAAAGGATTGTCAAAGGTTCGATTCCCGTGAGCGACACCATTTTTGCAAAAAGAAAAAACTGCCATTTTGAAGCGTGAACATTGTTTAGACTAAAAAACTTGTTCCTTACTTGCTGCACAGATTTTCTTGCAAATAAAATCATTTCGGCACATATGCAGGGTAATTTGAAAATTTGTGAATAAAAAATCTTTTACTATTTCTCCAACTAAAGTTGGAGAAATAGTAAAAGACTGCAACGAATAACATGTGTAGTAGAGTGCCGAAATATTTAAAGAAAAAAGTTGCAGTTATTGAGAAGCAGTCAGCTTGAAAAAATTTAGACTCTGGCAAATTTAGATGCGATCCTAACCAAAAACTGGGTTATTAAGCTTGAAATTTTGTAACTTACTGGAAACCCGATGAAGCCACCCAAAATTTTCAGGATAAAAAGTAGGGGGAAGGTGTCGTAATGTAGCAAACTGCAGCGAATAAACTTCCATAAGCTTTGAAAAAATTCTGATGCGACCCAGATACGATCCCCTTTTTTCATTTTCGGTGGAATTGGATTATAAAAAAATCCACAAACTATAAAATAAAACAAGAATTGGCACAGATATAGTAGGGCATCTCCAAGGGACAGCACAGTTGTATGGGCCGTATACAAAATATTGAAAAAAGATTTACTAATTATTGAGGTTATCGTTGGTAAAGATACGCGCTTTTGTCGAGTGTGTGGGACTCCAGGCAGGACGTTTAGGCCAGTAGGTACAATCAAAATTCTATCACAAGTACATGCCTTCAATAGTGTTTGAACTTCAAGAAGTGTTTTTTTTTTCAATTCTCAGTCGTACTTGAGGCCAGCAGTCTTCATTTCATACAAAGATACACAGTATCTCTTGGATCTATTGTAAATAACATGTAATAATTATCTGCTATATAATTTTACACCTACGGTTTTCATCCACATCACCCCCAGGCCAGCTCTAACGACCCCCCCCCCCCGCCCACCATGGGTGCCCCTCTACGATCCCCCGTTGCGACAGTCGCATCACACGCTTGTCTTGACGCTTTTGGATCCAAGTGTGCACCTTCCATCAGGCAGAGGCGCTGCCCTGACAGAACGGGGACACTATCTAGTACCGAATAAAATCGAAAAATCAGAAATCAGAAATCTCGAATGAACGAGTATCAATAATAGTAGTGGTGAGGATCGAATTTCGAAAAATATTCGGATAATTTGGAATGGCTAGACTTTCGTAATTTATTTGAGTATCTAGAACGATCATGTAAAACTTGCTGTCAACGGCTCGACTGAAGATATTCTGATAAAACTTATCAATTCGTCCTACTTCTAAACAACATTTCCCTGTCCCCTGCTTCACTTCCGTATTCAAATTCCCAGTCCCCACTAAGTTATCGCAATCAGCATGGTCACTCATTCACTTGTAACAACTCCAGCGCTTCAGCCCAAAAGATGCAGAAAATCAATGAAAACGATAAACACATGGAGTTGTCCTGAGCTAATCTTCTTTTCGTAATCAGACGCTCAATTACCTCCTTTCTACGTAGCTCAAAGCTTGTAACAAAAATCTATAAAGTCGATAATGATTGTTTATTCATGGTAAGCGCCCCCCTGACTACTCCCTGTGCTAGAAGCTAAGAAGAAAATAGCTCAGTACGATGAATTCGGAAAACTTAGACGATGGTAAGCATCAGTAAAAAGGTTTATTTACCCTACCACAGGCAAAGAATACCTTCAACATGAAAAGAGGTGTTCTGAGTATTAGCCACTCATCCTTCCAAACGTCAACTATCACAACTAAATTTCGTGCGTTTTCTTTTTCTAGTCTCAGATAAAACGCAAGACCCATCAAATCACATACGCATTGCGTGTACTTCCATTTTCAACAAAACTGGAAATGCGAAGTGAAAGCGCCTCAGGCAAGGACATACCTTACGCATTTTCAGTCGCCACGCGATCTGGCAATTTGCCAGATGTTCTTAAATACAATACTGTTAGACCCCAAATGCACAGCATGTATAACTTTCGTAGGTTGATAAAATGCCCCATCTTCCGTACATTCGGAAACCCCGTACGATGAGTTATGAACATTTGGAGTATTGCCAAATCGCGTCGCGACTGAAATCGCGTGAGGTATGTCCGAAGCCTCAGACATTTGCCACGAGCTTGACAACTCAGCACTTAACACTTTACTCGAATGATTGAGATACAAATTTCATTCAAACACAAATTGTAGGACATTCGAATTATATCCGTTTGCTACCCCGTTTTTTGATTATTCATTCTATTCGAAACCAAGTTTTCTGATTATTCATTTTCGAAATTCATTCGACCACTCAACCGACTTTTTGATTATTTGCGGTCTCGAATTTTATTCGACTACCAGTGCGTCACCTCTGCCTCGTGGAGGCTCGCACTGGTTCTGCTATCCACATGCCTTCCTCGTGCTCGCATGATGGCTTTGAAACCTAGCGATGCCGATTATCAATAATGAATTGTGACTAACCACTAATTCCAAAAGCTTCTTCATGTAAGATCGGTAACTCTGGGAGGAAGAAAGTTTCCTCCAAGAAAACGCGAATTTGAACCTGTCACTGGAGTTGTTATGCTTTGTAGTCGCCATAAGGACAACACTGTCAGTTATTCTGAGCAAAAACCTTCTCGATTTCAAGGTGAAACCTTAACAAATCGACTATCTGCGCATTTACCTTGGCGCCGATTTTGGTAAAAACAATTTTTTGCTTACTTTTTGGGTTGGAGTCCGCGGTTTGCGGGTTTACTTCCTGAACAAAACCACACCCACTTTCGCGAATGAAAAGCCGCGTGGACCCGTTTTACGCATATGTTCCGTAGGTTCCACTTGCCAAACAAACTTGTGCTTTTGCATAGTCTACCTACATGCTGATAGCAGTGGCGTACCCAGGATTTCCGCTCGGGGGGGGGGGGGGGGGGCGACTAATTTTTACCCGATGAAGGTGCGTGGCGTTAGCCAAGGACTCCGAAAAATTTTTTGGGATGCTTCCCAAAATTTTTCCGACCCCCTGACCCCGAGATTTTCAGGAAAAAGGGGCGTGGCGGCAACCGGTACGCCCCCGAAAAAATTTTTTTACATAAATGGCTACGGCTAATTTGAATCCTTGAAAATTTTTAAAAACTATTTTGATTATTTACAAGTAAAAACAAGTCCTCTACACATTTTTATAACACATTTGCCCCCCCCCCCCCTCCCCCTCCTTGGTACGCCACTGGCTGATAGGGTGCTACGACACAAATTCCAGCCCGAGGCCTTGGCTGCAACTTGTTCTGTGAATTTCGTAAAGACACAAAGACATGCACAAAAAAACAGACTTAGCGCATTGTTATAGTAAGTTGAAAAACTCCAAGTTTCAAATTCTGAATGCGAATATACAAATGTTTCACCCGAATCGAATTTTTATCTCGTAAAACCTCGGTATTTTTCAAGCTCTTTAGCATTTCTCTGCTTAAAAGTGGAGAAGTGTAAGGGCGAAGACACACCTCACTCGATTTCAGTAGCCACGCGATCTGACAATTTGCCAGATGTCTTCAAATTCAATACTCGCAGACCCCAAAGGAGACCGCGTATAACTTGTGTAGGTTGATCAAATGTCATCTTTCGTACATTCAGAAACCCTTACGACAAGTTATGACCAACTGGAATATGGTCAAATCACGTCGTGACTGAAATCGCGTAACGTATGCTTTCAACTTAAAGGCAGTGTCTCACCAAAATTTAGTTGCCGAGATTTTTGCATTTTGCAAGCCTGTCGGACCCTGTCTAGCACTGTATGGGCTTAAAATCGCAAGAAATGCCCACAAACCCCGTTTTCTGGAGGCCCCGTGGAAGCAACATGGACGAGTTGTACCTTCCAACTTCAGCCTCAGCCACAGTGGCAGCAACAGAGGGGAAGTGGATGCCAAGTGGAGGGACGTGTTCAAACGCGTAAAGGGGGAGAACGAAGCAGTTGTCCGCGCGTACCAACTCGCTCTCCGCGTACCACTTTGAGCGAATTTTTCTCAACGTGGAGAGGGTCAAATTGAGTGGGACCTGTTGTAATGGCCTACTTAGAGCTCCCTATTACAGAATATGTGAAGATCCGCGCGACCTCAACTTTGGTGAGACACTGCCTTTAAGGCCTAAGGCCCGGGTCAGACTTCACGCGACTTAATCGTCGCGACCAAATCGCCAAGATTTCCATTCATTTTCATTTCACATTCAAAAATTTCGGTCTGGAAAAGTATCACAACCGAATGCAAGTTGATCTGCATGGAATGATGTTGTAACAGTTGTCTCCTCGCGATTCAGTCGCGACGATCAAATCGCGTGAAGTCTGCCCAGGGCCTAAGGCATACTTCCCGCGATTCCGTCAAATCGCTCCATCTGCGCAACTTGGCGTTTTGCCAGATGTCTACAGATTAACCGTGCACGAGTGCCCAGTGCATAAGCGTGTAACTTCTGTAAGTTCTCGCAAAAGTGTCAAGTTTGACCCAGACAAAGTGCGCTTACGAACAATTATGAAGAGTCGTTGCCATGCCAGATCGCGCAACAACTGAAACGCGCGACGTATGCCTTAGGTCTAAGGAAAATTTGCGAACACCGCGCAAAACTCAAATGATGCGGCCGCGATTTCCAGCGCCGCCAGTGTTGTGACAATCCGCTTGAAACAACCCTATACATAGTACCACACATCTGCAGCAAAACACTATCGAAAGAACCAAATCAACTCACTAGAGTCATATCCGGATTTTCCATTTGCTTTTCCTGTATCTCCTCCACTTCCTTCGCTGTTGGCATCATAGTTTTCAAAATCTTTTCAATTCCATCCTTGTTCAAAACCATCGAATCAAATTTCTAAAATAACTTCTTGCTGCGTGCATGAAAAAATTTTGTTCAAGAAAAGAAAGTGTGGCACCATGATTGCTGTTGGAATCACGTTGATTGGAGGCAACTTTGTCAAACCAATGTTAATCGCTTGCGAGCGTTTCATCGACAAGACTTGTAACATTGCTGGCTTCGTGTCAATTGCTTTCTGTAATGGATTTGGATTTTTGGGAGCAAATTAGACAATTCATTGCACGCAGAGACTGGACGCCGTCAATAACTGAAGATAGTACGTGTTAGAGGGAGACAGCAGACGGTCACAACGATGAAGTGAGAGTCGCAGACAGCACCCAGCGTTCTGTGGTGTCTGTATTCGCCTATATCATTTTAGAGTCAAAAGTCACCTTTACAGCAACTTCTTTATTGTGTTTTGTTTCAAAAAGCTGAACCAGCTTGTGCGCATCTATTTGCGGTTGATCGAGTTTGTTCCAAAATGAGCCCTTTTGCTTTAATGATGGCACTGGTGGAGGTTCAGCTGAAGTGGGCTTCCAGTGCAATTTGATGACTCCCTTGCCAGTGGATGGACCTGTTAGGTATGATTAGAAGAAGTACCGACACAAAGTTGAGCAAGTTTGTGCTTTACCTGGACTCGACTCCCTTTTGAAGTTTAGTGGAGGAGGAGGAGGAACACCACCGGGTAGTGGAGGAGGAGGTGGTATGCTGCCCCCTTGTACTGAAAAAATCTCTACAGATGTAAAGGATACGTATCAGGAACGGTATTTATCAATTTCAATCTCTAATTGGGCGCCCGCTTCACGTTGCGAACGATCGCCTTATGAGGCAATGGACCCTCGTTCATAACGGTAGAACAGCTCCTAATCGCGAGACGGACCCTTTTTTATATCGGTAAAAGAGCGCCTATGTGTTGATGTTATAAGCCTCTCAGATGACTCACATCGTGGGGGGAGCGGAATTGAACCGGGAGGTGGTGGTGGCGGTGGTCCACCATTGACATTTGGTCGGCCATCAGCAGGTAGCATTCCCTTTTCCTGAGCCATTTGCGCGAGTCGCGCCATCACGAGGGGATCTTGTTCGAATTCTTCAGCGTGAAACGCGCTAAAGTCTAGATCGTTGATGATTAACGGTCGGGACTTCAGATTCTCAGCCGCCTACAAAGGAGTATAAATGACGATCAGATAATTCATTGTAAAAGATTCATTGCAGGCGGAGACTGGACGCCATTGCGGCCGGCTGAGACAGCTTGTGTTTGGGAGAGACGGCAGACAATAAGAGAGATGATAGCGCGCTTGATAGAAGAGACGCCGAAAGCAGTGGCCTGTCTCTGCTTGCCATGACTCTTACAGTCTCTACCTTTTTCCATTGTATATCAGCTTCGCTTTCCTTAGTGGCAAAATTGCTGCGATTCGCTTCTGCGGATTTGGCCGCACGTTTTTGCAAAAGCGCAGCAAATCCACCTGCTGTGTCATCTTTCTCTATCTAAACAAAACATCTTGTCCAAGTTGGACGTGTTCACCAGAACTTTGCGAAGCTCGACCTTGGCCTTTGGTGGCGGTAATTTCACGGGTTCTGGCTCTTTTAATGGTTCAGGAAATTCCATCACTTTAGGTTCTGTTGGCGAAAATATCGTAGGAAATGAAGGTGGTGGCGCTTTCACCTGCAAATTCTCATCCTAAAATAAAATTTTTTTTATCAGAAATCTGTCAAGATCACAGTTCACACAGGGTCAACAATGCATCCACTCTGAGCAGAACTTACATGATGTTCGGAAAGATGCTCGGTCTCATGGCCTCCAACATCAGCCAAAGCGGATGTCGGTATCGCTTGCTCATCATTGACAATCCGAATCGGTTCCGGTATCTTCTTTTGGATTGGGATATCTATTTTGGGACTCTGGAACAGATGCTTCGATTCGAGCCATAAATGCCTTGTAAACTCACAGATATGTCATGCTTCTCATTTGTCTCATTTCTCCATGCCGGGGAAGACTTCGGCCCTGACGGTGGCTCACTAAAAAATTGAATTTTTGGGTTCCTTTGAAGAGGTGCTACCAGAATGCGAAACATAATTCAACACGCTATGCTCTCATTGCGAGATGAAGCTGCGAGCTGATAATGAGGTACTTCAGGAGACGGAACTTACCTACTCGGACGACTTGCCGCCATAACCACAGGGGTCATGAGGTGTCAGCAACGCTAATTAGCGCCACATGCAGAACTGATCTCTACACACAGTAAGCCCCGTACTCATTCAATAGCGCATGAACCCCTGAATTTGCGGTAATTTTGAAGTGAAACTTCAGTATCGATATATGTCCGGTTAAGGTGAAAGGTGGTAACTAAGGGTTCCAAATATCAGCATCTCTGTTCAACTCGCCGAATCTGCAAACTTTTTTATGTAATTCTTACAACAAGACTCATTGTGAATTTAGAAGAAATGGAAAAGAAACAAAAAATATCTGCTTTGATTAGGGAAACTCGCTGAATCCAAAATCCGTCTTATTATCATACTCCAACATACTCATCCAAAAAAAAACACCAATGCTCTAGAACTGAAAATGACTCCGGAGTGATCATCTCTGCATATAATGCTAGTTAGGTATTGCTGACAACTCATGATATCGAAGGTACAATGCGGCAAGTCTTTTGGGAAGGTAAGTTCCCTCATCCGGTACTTCAACTCAAAGGCAGTGTCTCGACAGATTTTGCAATTTCACCTTTCTGCATGGCTTAGGCCTTTTCGACACGTAGAACCCGAATTTGAGCTTTGAACCGGGTAAAAAACCGTTTTGGGACGTTTACAAAATTTCCAGAAGGCAGCTCGGACGATTTTAATGGAAAATTGGAAGGCCCTGGCAAATTAATGGGGTGACCACAGGGCCCGGCACGCGTTGGTTTGGAGCATTTTTGGAAACGAAGTCCCCCATGACTTCGCGAGAACTTACGAAGTCCCTCTTAATGTAAAAATCAGTATGAAAACCCTTATTCAATCAAAATAACGATAAAAAGCGAAAGAAGCGCATTTTGAGGTATACAATACAAAAAAGCGAAAAGAAAACTATTCGATTCGATTAAAGGCTCTGTCATTGGGTAAGTACCATTTAAGTGCTCAGAATGTCGAAAACCTCGCAGGCCGACCAAATCTGTGGCCTTAACAATCTGGCGATGCATTTTTCGCCACATAGTTCTAACAATAAGGACACCGCATGTGATTGGAGCGCAGTACCTATCAACGCATAGATTTACTCTACTTTTAGCTCAAAAAAAAGAGGAGAGGCAATGGTTTGGTTCGCTCACTTCAATATGATAGATTTTTGTCCTTCTAATTGTCCAAATCAAAAAGGGCCAAAACTTATGTGAACTATCCGATATTTATGCTCCGAACCAACCTAGTTGGTTTGGTATTGGTCTAGAAACCAACAAATTCGGGAACGGATATTAGGACACATAAGTTTTTGAAACTTTTTACATAACATAGTTTGGAGTAATATTGTATATATAAATAGCCCAAATTTGGAGCCGCGTGATTATTTCTGCGCTGTAAACAAGCCATTTGTTTGTTTGTGTTGCGTTTGAAATTCGCGCGCTTGCGAAAGAACACGTTCACGTAAAACTTGACATATTCGTCGTTTTTTTTATCGGGGCTTCCCCCAAGACCTCATAAAAACGACATCCCCGTTGCTTCTAACTTTAAAAACGAAGTCCAGTTTCAAATTCCATGTACGATTTTCAGTGATTCTTGGCATATTCAGAGTATCCTTTGTAAAATGTCTAAGCCTTCACCAATATTGGTATAACGTTTATCAGGCTAACGTTTCGGCCAACTCGCCTTCGTCAGAGCCTGTAATAAGTGAGTAACATAAGAGATCTACTCGCCCAAACGCCTTGTCATCTTGCAGGAAAAGACAAAAAGTTGTACGAAACGACACCTGGGTCAAACAGCTCACCTTAAACTTAAGGTCGAGACCATCCACCACCGAGTGACATGCAATGACTGAGTGAGTTAGGGTTCCTGACTGGAGGTAGTAGGTCAAACCCGCATAAGTCAAGGAACGGCGCGAGCCCATTAGTTATGGCAATGCACTCGTCTTTTCTGTTCATCTGCGGATTTCTATTCGAAATCCAGCAGACCTCTAATGTTCTGCGTGCCGCAACCTCTGTTCCTCTAGACAGAATTGACATTGAGACGTCGAATTCTGTGTTGTGGTGCTGCAGCTTACGATGCGTGCCTAGGGGTGTTGAGAGCCTTGATTTGCGCAATCCGTCCAAGTGTTCTATTATCCGCAGGCACAGTGGTCTTCCAGTTTCTCCTATGTACTCAGCCCCGCATAACTTGCATGTGATCAGGTATATCACGCCAGAGCACATACAAATTCCAGGCCTGTTGGTGGTGCAGGTGATGCAGTTCCTTGTTTCACAGGTTCTGCTGTACGCTCTGTTGCGAACCAAACGTTGCCTGAGATTAGGAGGAGGAACTTCGACTACTAGTAGCGAGTCCTGCAAGCCTGATTTTCGCACGCACGCTCTAATTTCGCTACTAAACCCGTCCCATATGGACGGAATGCAGAATGATACCTTATCCTTCTCTTCAGGGGAAATACCAAGCAGTCTGCCGCTGCAGCGTACTCTTGCGCTCTTACATGGAGAGTATCCATTTGCTTGCGCTATCTGAATAGCCTTTTGAACCGCCGCAGCTTTGAACTGGTCATCCGATGACACTGCCTTGGCCGTTCGCAACATGTTTCTAGTAACGCTTTGCTTTGTGCGTACTGGATGCGCAGAAGAGTTTGATCCTAGACCATCTGAGCCGGACCCTGGGTGACCAGGAACCTCACCACAGCTTTATCCCACATGCCGCGGATCTGCCGGGACACTGCCTTTAATGAAATATATGAAGAATTGATGCAGCTTTGATAGTCTCAATTGAAACCTTAGGAGATTTGTCTAGTGAAATTAATAACAGTTGAAACTGCATGAATGGGAAGAGAAGGTACCGACGATAGGCACCACCTTTACGGACAATAGGCCCTTTCCTTTGAGCATGCCGCCTGAGAAGGATAGTCCTCTTAATGAGTGTCTGATAGCGGTTTTATTTTCTTTACTTCTTAAAGAGTCTCTGATACAAGACTAATGAAAATAGTTTGTAGACAAATCTGTGTTTCAAGAAGCAAGATACAAAGCACTCAGCAGTAGATGAATGAGCAAAGTCAAAAAATTAGATCCGTTAAAAACATCCAGTAGCTTTCAATCATTAGGCCAGATAAGTATCGTCCATGGAAATCAGAGAAATTTGACCGAACAGAGTGGAGAGTGTGACAAAAAATTGGATAAAGAGGCGCTGCATTCATTTGGAAATTTTATTTGGAATGCCTCCTAACTAGTCTGTGACCTCGTTACCAGGATCAAGCAAGGGGTGTGGCACACTATCGCTGGTTACGAACCCCTCCCCCCTGATTGCTGTCTTAATAAGACCCCCCCCTTATGAACTATATACCTAAGATAGCATTACCTGAAGGCCCTGTCAAATATAATGGGCAACATATCCAGCATGTCAATTAACCCCTGCAGACAAAGTTTGAGCGAATTCTGAAGATTCAAGATATTTGGCTACCTAAATGAAATGGTTATATTCCAACATTAACTTTGTTTCAGAGGTGAATTAAGTATCCGTTTTTGCATTCAAGACAAAGCGCTACTCCTTCTTCGCCCATCTCAGAAATCCTGCTTCAAAAGACCTCCAAACCGTGGAATTAGAAGCCAAACAAAATCTCATTTTTCCCATTTTTCGCTTTTAATGGCTGTGCTTTCACCAAACATTACTGAGCTAAGAAGACGAATCAGGCTTAAAACACTCCTATGGAATCTACGAGGTTTAAGCTATCGATTCATATAAATACTGTTCGCTAAAAATGTTTTTTGATATAGTTAATGGGCTATCAATTCATATGAATACTATTCGCTAAAAATGTTTCTTTAATGTAGTTAATGGGATGTGGCTGCCACAGCTTTCTAGGGGTGGTGCCACACCCTATTAAGAGGAACGGCTGATAAGTCGCTCCATACTGTAAATCTAAGTTTATCCTCGCTTTACAGAATGGTACCTCAAGCTCGGCAAAAGACGTGAAAGCAAGAGAGTTATTAACGATCAAACAGTGTGCACATCTTTTTGGGACACTCTGTATAACAGATACATCAGACTGTAGAGAGAGGACTTCGCGACCTACGCTGCGAGCGGTACGCGTAACTCCAGAACTCGCCTTCATCAACCGCTGCTGTTTATCAATGCTAATAACTGTAATATATAAAGGGCCCAGCTCTTACTGGCAGCAGCGAGTGCAAACAGCAATTTGGATGTAAGGTGAGTAAATTTGGTTAGTAAGTGTTTTTAGCTCCGCAGTGGGCAGCGAACGATTTTGAATAACTTTCCATATGATAACGTATTATTACTGTTAATGTACCCAAACGTTTTGCTTTTGTTTTTACTTGTAAAATCGCACGCGTCCAGGCTGAGAGAGCTTGATTGTGTTTGGATGTGTTCAGGTAGAGAGTGGCTCCCTGATGAATTGTAGCAGTGTCCGGGTTGAGATGGTTTCCCCGAGGATTGGTTTTGTGTGGTCCAGGCTTGGGGATTGGTTGTGACATCGTCCAGGTAGAGCTTAGCTCCATGTGGATTGATTTTGCGCGCTGTAGTAGAAGTAGTAAGTGGGTGGTTCCCAATAAAAACCGCTTTTGGGCTCGAGCAAAATATGTTAAGCAAAATAAGTCACGTGGCTAGGTGTCTTTTTCTTTTTTATGTTTTACGGGTTTCATGCATTGCAACTATGCAATTACAGATTTCCAAGTTTTTTTTATAGTGAAGCGCATACTTGATGAGCGAGGCGCGGCGAATATAAACATCAAACGCCGCAACCTGTTGTTTATGTTGAATATGTGATAGTGTGAGATCTTAGCTACATAACAACATACCTCTTACATACTTCCCTAATCTGATATTTTCCTCACATAAAGTGC